AAACAAACAAACAAACAAACAAACAAACAAACAGAACGTCTGGTATTGGATTACGTCTAAATACTGAGCGGCAATTATTTCTGTGTCTCTAGACAGAAGATTTTCTCATATTTCTTTCTCAACCAGAAATCGGAGCTCACAGAGGTGCATAGAGACATAGATCATGGTCTCTTGATAGAGATTACGAAAATGGCAAGTAAAGATTTTTATCATGAAAATCACGCTTTATTCAACATACAGTTGATCATGTGATCCTGTGGTCATGTGTAGTTAGCGTAAATCCTTTTATATTTTAATAATTTTAAAAAGAATTTCTTAGGACACGGTGATACTTCAAGGAGGTGTTTTAGGGTGGTTTTTACTTTTTCGTTAATTAATCTTGGCATGCATGTGCCCAAGGGTAGAGGAATTTAGTAATCGATAATTTGAAGGTGGGTTATCTAAACATTATTATTTATCGATACATGATTGGTTCGTGTTTTCCTGGTGTTGTCAGTTCAAATTTTAGCCGTGTGACATACAGCTCTTAAGAGGAAGCAACAAAGTACACCGATGTCTGCGGAGTTAAATCACTTGTGCCTATCACACTCGGAAAACGTAATCACCAATAAACGTTGGTAAATATGGTATGAACACCATTAGTTTTGCATCCAGGCCAACCACATAACGTGTCTGGGGTCCCTGTGATGTCAGACAATCCACGATCGCGTCCACAACTTTGTAAGTGTCCGGTGATGCAGTTTTCTCCATCTTGAGCTTCATTTCCTTGGCCATGGCAACTATTAAGTATAGAGAAATACAGAGGTTTTGTCATTAGTGTGTCAAAACTGATCGCAACAAACAGCTTCATTGAGAATAGGGTTGAGGATTTTTCTTCGTTGATAGGGTACCACCGTACCAAACCCTAGGCTTTTGCAACTTCACAAGCGGGTTTAGCTAGGCTTATAACTGTAGAGAGGGGGCTTATGTCCAGGGTAGCTTAAAAGCAGCATAAAAACTCTGCAAAACACACAAAAAAATTAAATAGTATATTGTTCAAGGTGTTTTCACTGTGATGATATGTACTTCTAATGCACTTCCGGTGATGTAAGCACCACGTGAACCATCGTGCCTTGCGATCTTTGTATGTAGTTTCCGCCATGTTGTTTAAGGTATTAAAGCAACTAAAGAAGCTACATTGCCTCCTGTGCTCGACATAGTAGCTCGCGGCTATTACATTCTCCTGCATTCTCCAGAAATTGAGGATAGAGTATCGATGCAGTCATTCACTTTCACTGTTGCATGTAATGTTTGCTTATAATAAAGATGTATCATTTCTTACATAGACTTGATGATAGCACCTTGAAACTTTCATAGGCGCTGCGAAGTACTCCTAGTTGCTTCCGTGCCAGTTTCTACGGAAGCAAACAGGATAATCTTCGGCAACGGGGGACACGCCTTGACCCAGCGCACATACCTTAAGGGAATACGTGACCTTGCAATAACATTTAAAACTTACTTCCGTCAAGACGTTTATCTTCATAACCTTCTTTCATCTCGGGGCTAAGATTATTCCAAAGCTGTTTCATTGAGTCAGCAATTTTGTGTATTCCAGCAGTCTGAAACGCCCCTGGTTCTATCACGCTGACCAACACTCCCCACGGGTTCATTTCACGTCTGAGCGCATCTGAAAAGGCTTCAACACCATATTTGGAGATACAATAAGCGGACGCAAAACAAGGCGACAAACGACCTGTATAAAAAATATACATTAGACAGTTAACTGATGCAAATGCTGCAAAATGATTGGCTGAGCTTCTCGCATACTATCAGCCTTTAGTAGCCGCTTAGCTGTGTTCTATTGTTAATCAGCTAATCTGATTGGCTATCTCATCATTGTCTATTCGCTGTTATATAATATAACTAGGTCAAACGGACCAAAACACATGGTTCATTTTACGTCTTGCCGACTCGATATGAAGGAACTTCAAACTTTAAACCTCAAAAGGTTGATAAACATTCCAGAAATTCGAATAAATTTAAGTTTTGTATGAAATCGTTGGCTTTTTTCGTGCTTGATATGTGCTCTAAACCCATATTGTGCTCAAAAGTTGCTCAGAAAGGCAAAACTTGCTCGAGGTTGCTAGAGCCGCAAAAAGTTGCTGCAACCACGAAAAGTTGCTGAAAAGTTGCCGAGCACAATCACAGTCCTGATGCAGCCTTGGTTTACAGCGTACGTCATCGATATTGGACATCCAAGGTCAATTGACACTTGTCAAAACAAGGTATCTGCTGACCAGTATTTTAATTTAGCGCTCATCGAGGTCACGCGTTTTATTGAAGTTGACCGCTGCCCAGGTACTGATTTTCGATTTAATTGCAGGCTCAAGTCAGGTTACAGTTTATATTGCAATCAGGAGCTCCCCTTTTAGGCTTGGCTACATCCATTTATTAAGCGGACGAGAAATGTTCGGGAAACATCGCAACATTGACTGATATAATATTGCCGCCACAATTTTTCTTTTCTAATGTGCACATGACCCTGTGT